GGCAGTGATACGTCATCTGCCAAATAACTTCGTTATTTGGCAGTTTATGTAATCACTACCAAAACTCGAGTCATTTATAAGCACAATCGCCATAGGATACCGGATAAAACCGTTATTGTATGCTACGCTAGCCAATAACTCCTAATGAAATATTTTACAAATAATTCTCGTTATTGGCTGCTTCGCATCCAATAACTATATATTATTTGTACGATTTTGTTGAGGAATTTTGTTGAGGAATTAATAATTATGCAAAAGGTTATCTGTCGTGAAATTGCATACAATGTTTGAATAAAATCGGTTTCCAAGTTTAAGCTATGGAAAAGTTTCAAGTAGATTCTGTATCTATACCATTGATGACACGAATGATGATATTATTTAATTCGTCTTCGGCGTTCTTCAGAATTCTACGCGTAGGATTAAAACACGTTGGTATTAACATTGATTGTTTTGATAAATTTTTTACATCATAGGAAAACATCAGTAGCATTTAATCATTATTATCATGCTTTATATAAAAGTGAATAGACGATAAATTTGTTGGTAACTGTCGCTTCACAAAATCAAATAATCTTAACAATGGGAGATAAGAAAGTCCCGGCAGGTTTTCTTAGATTAAATGACAAATATTACTATATGAGGAGCACACAGGTTGGGCTTGATCCGACAATGTACTGAATGTACTGAATGTACTGTTATTAAGTACCTTAAATGGTTGAATGCAATTAAAATGAGACCATTCTAATTATAAAATGTTTATTGGTGTAATTATAATAAGAAATTAACTCATTGCGGCGAATTTATGAATTATTCAAAATTTGACTACTAATATGTAAATACTGATTTTGAATATTCCAAGTTAGGCTGTAGAGAAGATGAGTTAGTCGTATTATCAATCACGGACTGAGGCTCAAGAATTTTTTTCAGAGTAGTATTGATTGATCAATATGTTGGGATCGTCTAAAGCCAGGTGTATATAGTAATTATACGTGTCACATGATTTTTTTGATTTACAAATTTGTCAATAATCAACCGATCAAGCTTCATAAATTCGTCGTGATGTTTATCCAGCCAGTAATAATATACCTGTAGCAGACATTCACAGAAAACTTCGATTACATGCAAAATAGCTGAAGATGATTTTTTACATCGTTTGGTCACAAACTAGAATTTCGAGCATCCGTTGACTGAAAATTCGAATGTTCATAGGTTTTAAAACATCAGATATATAAAAATTCGCGTAACATTAAATTTATCAACTGCTTTTTTCGCATTAAAAATTTATCAATTATTAAAACATATAGTTAAATTATAAACTTTGACGATGCTCGATGTTAATCGAATTAAAAACTCGTGAATGAAAGTTTTATTACGATGCTCGAAATTTTGATCGATGATCGAGTAATTATCCACCAGCTCCATTCTCGAGTATGCTTATCTCATAAAATTTCATCTTTCATGCATCAAACTTAAAATTGAATTATATCGGAGTAAAGTTTAAATCCAAGATACATCAGACTGCAACCAAAAATGTACCAGATAGAGGTCTGATCCGTTCAAAAATGAAATACGTATAATCATTTGTTCAATACTTTTAATAACGATCAGAAGTTTCAAAGGATATCCGAATATATTCCTATGCTGTGAACCAGATGTAGCAATACTGCGGAAAAGATTTGTGATATATGTGTGTCATTTATATCATCTTTAATAAGCGATTATTAACATGCTCTAAGTGAAATACAGTTGACTAATTTCATATTGACAACTTACCAGTACGTTATTTCGGATACGACCATTTACGTTATTTCGGAATAGGGATTGATTTTCAGAATTCAATCCCTTTTATACGTACATTTTGGGTCGATCGGAATATTTCAATTTTTCTGGTTTAATTAAGATATTGATAGTATTTAATATAAAATTACTACTAGTTTTTGGTTTGAAAAAAATTCGGATGCTTTGGTGTCACTACACTTTTAATACTTTTATTATTTTTATTTATATTTTTACGTTATTCATTATTGTAACTTGCAATATTCTGTAAAGAATTTACTTAATTGTTGACATAAATAAAAAGAAATTACGTGATCATTAGATAAAGTGATTTTTTTACGTGTAGCATTTGGTTAATTATCAGGTTTGTACACTTCAGATTTTAAACTAGATATGTATTTACTACTTTGAAATGTTAAGTTCAGGCACCACTGAAGATGTCTCAACTAACAAAAATACTTTCAAAGGCAGAGATTTCCTAAGCGATCAAAATGTTTTAAAAAATCAGAATGCCGATTTTCTAACAACCGAATTGAAGAAACTACTTAAAAAGTTAAATCCAAGAATGAAGAGACATTATAATGATATAAAGTCCACTGAAGCAAAAATTGCTTACTTAGAAGGGATTAAGTTAGTGCGTGAACAAGGAGTAAGTTTACTTAAAAATCATATGTTTTCATTGATTGTTTTTATTTATTTCTTAAATCAGGTTAGTTTCTTCGTCGTTATTTCTTTCTATATCTTTAGGAACTTCAAATGAGCTCAATATTCAATACACTTACCATTACTATCACTGTCACTGTCACTGCAAAATATATTAAAGATGAAAATTCTACTCGGATTTTTATCGTTACTTTGTATTGTGTTATATTTGGAACCCAAATTTTATTTTACTTATAAAATTGTTGAGAGAAGCTTTTTTTCATTTATATACAATTGCATTATTTCCAACATTTATTGGAATAATTTTAACAATATTTCTTATTTCACCAGATTTAGCAATATCATATATAGGGATTGGTGCTTCAATTTCAAACCTGTTACTTGAAATTTATCTAAGATACTATTAATGCAGTAATGTAATCATACTGCTTTTTTTATTATACAAAAAAAAAAAAAAAGATCAATCAATTAAATGCTTCAACTTGATATCACTTTTCAGAATTATATTTTACTGCTTACTGTACTGTGAAAATCTGCATGATTTCATTTCTACAAGGCGACATTAGATTGTCCAGGGGGCTGCTGCCTTAACTGACAAATTCTGCTGCGATTGCTGTTAGATTTGCAAATTCTGCAGTAACATATAAATTATACTTTAAAAAACAAAATTACGACAAAAAGAAATTCTAAAGAAAATTCCAATTTCATCACAATAGGCATATTCACC